GTCGGCTCATTAATGACGCAGCCTATCAAACAACTGAAACCAACATCTGCACTCTGGTGTTCACTGCTGCTTTACCTGGTCCGTAAAAAATCCACCATGACTTGTAACGTAACTTAATAGTCTGCCAATTTTTTTTACCGAGTCTAGTCTGTGCAGGAACACATGTACATAAATGAGTGCTGCACCCACGGGCATGCGCCCGCGCACCAGATAACCTCGTCCATCCCGATGTTTCATTGTAGACATCGCCCCAACCGTAGTGTCTGCAGAAACCTCCTAAACCACTCCGGCATCATATTCAGTGTCTCTGCTGTCCATCCATATGCATATTTTTATAAAAGGCTAATATCAAAAAAACGAATATTCTCAAAAAAACTTACTGATAATCTTACATCTTGTTTGCACCTGTGCAGGTGTTGTGAGGGGCCATAAAACAGAGGGGCAGGAGCTCTTCACAGTGTGGAGAAGGACGGCCAGAGGCAGTGGTACAAAGGACCTCGGTCATCCTGTCTCTGGAGCAGGGAAACAAGCTGAGGGAGCAGCACAGCCTCGGGCCCTACCGTCATTCCCCTGGCCAAGGCCTCCGACATCAGCCTTGGTAAGACCACCGCAGCCTACAGCTGGACAATAAAACAATAACAATAATTATTGCAACTTATTTCAATAACATAATATATAATAATATAACAAATGTTCAATAAATATTTGATTTTATAAACTTGAATCATACACAAATTAGAATTTTTATTAAGATGTTTATTTTGCTGAGGAAAAAGGACTGGGGAAAAAAAAGCTTTTAACAAATTTTTCTCATGCACATTTGTTGACAAAGATTTTATTATAATTGTTTTGAATGTTCTGCCTCAGATTTGTGAAGTGATCCACTGTTTAGCCTCAAGTGTTTGTTCTGACCATAAAGAAGAGTTTAAACCACAATTGACCATCGGGGTTCTTCAGCTTTTACTCTGCCTTGAAACTCGAAAGAAATAATGATTTGATATTTAGATCGATATCAAAAGATATGAAACTTTTTATTGTGTTAACATTTTTGGCCATATCGTGGACACAGGCAGATAAACACTGTTTTTAGATGTTTTATTTCTCTTTAATTAGAAAATCTGAAATTTAAAAATATTCACCAGATCTGTGTGTTATCTTTTCATAACTTAATAAAGGTTTACTTGCTCAGTCACAGATTCTGTCATAAACTCAGTGCTGTTATGCATCTGGAAACTCCTTAGATAACCTGGTGGAGGGGAAAAGGAGGCGCAGAGGAGCCCCCGAGGGTCAGAACACTCCCAACCGCAGCTCTTCCAGCAGCCCCCGAACCCCTGGCCCGTCTGGCAAGAGGAAGCTGATGACCTCCGAGGATGACAGGACACCGGCAAAGAGAGGCCGCAAGGGCCCGGGGGCCAGAGCCGGTATGGAGACCCGCTCACCAAAGCCATGACCGCACCTGAACTGGGAGGGGGGTTGTTTTTACTAATTTTCTTTTATATATTTTTTTTATCTGACTACATAAATCTACATGATTATATTCCTCAACAAAGCTATAAGTTTTAGATTTTAAACATAATGTAATATTCCTGTGTAAATGTGCTTTGATATAAAATATTTAAGGTTTTAATTTGCCTTCTGTGTCAGTATGAACTTTGCTGGTGTAAAATGTTTTTTAGAAAAATGATTTTAACCTCTTGTTTACATTGAATTGAGCATGTGAAATTTTAATTCACTAGACCAAGTGATCACTGTCAGATTTCAGATGTTGTTCTTGTGTGATATGGAGTCAGTAATGTGTTATTTTTGTACTGAGAATAACTGAGACATTTCGACCTTCGTATGGTCTGTGTCCATCCTCTGCTGCTGTTTGCGGTCTGCTGCTGAGGCTGACATGGTAATTAATCAAGTGCAGTAGTATTACCATGGTGATGGTCCACAGGTGGAGGGAAGGGGACGTGCATTTTTGTAAAGTCACGGGTGTATTTGCATTGAAAATTATTTTAATTCAGCAAGTGTATATTAATTGATGCTCAAAAGGTCAGTTCAGCCAAATTACAGAAAGATAATCTTCTTACCTCGAGTTGTATGTAGCCTTGCAGATAGTGTTATACATCAATATATCAATATCAATTTTATATATATATATAGCACAATTAAAACAACCAAGGTGCTTCAGTTTAAAAAAATACAACAACAATAATTACAAAGTAAAAGTAATAAAACATAATCTACAGTATTTGATATATAGTAATATTAAAATTGCCAGGGATAATCACTGACTTAACTCGAAGGAAATGCCAAAAAGAGATGTTTTTACATGCACACAGTCAGCAGCTTTAATAAGAACTACTTCATAAATCTCACAGCAGATAAAACAATGTGTAGGGCCAGATTTCCCTAGAGGTTAGAGAGAAAATGTCTTTGTAATTTAGATGAACAGACCTTTTAAATTCACAACTTTCATTTTATCTGATTCCTACGCTTGCCGTATTTCCTACTATCTGTATTTCTGTCTCCAGCTCAGCGTGTCGGTGTGTGCAACACCTCTGGCAGCGGCACAGATCTCCCCGGTCAGCCTTGTGATGTGGCAGACACTCACGGTCCGCTGCCCCAGAACGCGTCTCTCTTTATGGGCTTCGCCTTTATGCTGACTGCCTCGTCTGAGATCGACCGGCTGACCAACAGGTCCATCAGTGATGATGAGGAGGGTGAGGCAGACGACGACAAAATGAGGATTATAATGCACGCTGACTGCAGCATGCTGAAGCTTCCTTCCTGCTTCCTTTAATGCTTGTTGGTTCAATAATTATTGTAAACATTTTGCCCCCCCAACAGAATACGTGCAGACAGGTCCCTTTAACAAAGTATATACAGAGTCTCAGCTGCAGGCAGGTGGAGGCTTCATCCTGCCAGACTTCAATGAAGAACAGGTAAGAGCAACATTTCTTTTGAGTAGAAAGTTAAGATTAATGCCTAAAACAATCCTCCAGGATTTTATAACCTTAAAATATTCATTTTAATGAACTTCAGAGAAGAATTTGTGCTAGTATTTTTCATGTTTTTTTAGTTTAAGGAGTTGTTTTGTACGCTCATATTTTAATGTACTTATACATGGTGATACATATCATGTAAAAGTGCAGCTCACAGTATATAAATAATGCAGGTTTGTCCTTAGCACTCACATCCATGTCTTCCTTTTCTGTGTTTGGTTCCCTCTTCAGTGTAAGGCAGCTTACCAGAGCTTGCTCATTGCAGACCAGCACTGTCGTACAAGGAAGTACTTGCTGTGTTTGGCCAGCGGTGTGCCGTGTGTGTCACACATCTGGGTGAGAGACTGCTGCAAAGATAACAAGCTGCTCAACTACAGGAACTACCTGCTGCCTGCTGGCATGGGGCCAGATGACACTATAGTAGAATGGTAAGATGAAGTTCCACCTTCTGTTGCTCTTCATTCCTGGGGTTTACTGGATTCAAGTGACAGAGCTAAGCGTTTTCTTTTCTGATAGATCACTGTCAATCTGTATAAACCCAGAAGGTTTGCTGGATGTATTCTGCCTGTTACACAGTAAAATTATTATTATTATCCAAGAAAGAAAGTTAGTATGTAGAAAAATATAACCTAATAGAAAAAATCAACATATGTATATCAATATAGACACATGTACCTGATAAACTCTTTAATGTATCATACATATTGAGCAAGGAAATATGTCCCCTGGCTTTAATCAAAGGAGGACTAGGTTGCATCAAGGGTTGTCGCTGTGAGCGGGGCGCCAGTGTTGGATCAGTTGTAGTAAAACGGGCCAGTTTCACAAAATCCTTGGGGATTTGCAAATGTGCATTTGTGAAGTGGGCCATTAAGACTGTAAATTAACTGTGCATCACAAATGCCCTGATAACTTCACAAAATGTCTGAAAGCAAAATAGATCATTAGGAATGCCCATCCTGCATTTTACTCTTTTTCTTGCTGAATTGCCAGACTGTCCCATGTGGGCTGCAGTGGGTGGTTTGTGATCGATAGTATCAGAGAGAGAGAGCCCAACTGATAAATCAGTGGCAGATATGAGCTAATTGCAGATAAATCTGTAAGTGATCCATCAATCATGAGTGGTGTTGTTGCACAATTTGTCCACCAGAGAGCACACTGCAACTCCCCTGTTGGCAACACACTGGTTTGTAACAGATCCTCAGCAATCAGCTGTACTTTTGTTCAAAGTGCTAAATCAAAACTACAAATAACCGATTGTTAGGGGATAATCTTTGTTTATGTTTTGTGTTTCTGAAAATAATATTAGCTGATCAGTATCGGTCTTAAAAATCTTTTATCGGTTGGGCTTTAATAGATAGTGTCGGACTTCTCCTCGTGGATGTTGTGGTTGAGAAAAACAGTACACAACCTGAAGCTGTAGGAAACATGATCATGCAGCCAGCAGTGGATGCAAATGTGGATCCTACACAAACCACTGGTTATTAAAAACAGATTAGCTGGTCTCAAATGGTCCGTAAATGCTATCACCCTCTTCTGTCAGGCCCGCTATCAGAGTCCAGCTGAGAGACCACATTAGAACCAGACAAACAGGTAGTGCAGTTATTCTGTTCTCGTTGGTTACTGTAGCTAACAATTATACCGTAACAAAGACACTTGGCTGCTAGAGGATGGAAAGGTGGCGAGGGAGCTTGTGCTTGCGACTCAGGTGGTCAAGGGTAGAATGAGGGGGACAGTATTAACCTTCTGGTATGCCCTCCCACATCTATAAAATGCAACACAGACCTTTTCTCACCTCTTTTTTTTGCTTTTTGTTCCATTGCAGGATTTTGTGCAGAGCAAAAAATTCTTGTTGAAATAAAATGGGGGACAGTCAAAATAATCCACTACATAGTACACCGAACAAAATTATGAACACAACACTTTTGTTTTTTTCCCCCCATTCATCATGAGCTGAACTCAAAGATCTAAGACTTTCTCTATGTACACAAAAGGCCTATTTCTCTCAAATATTGTTCACAAATCTGTCTAAATCTGTGATAGTGGGCACTTCTTCTTTGCTGAGATAATCCATCCACTTCACAGGTGTGGCATATTAAGATGCTGATCAGACAGCATGGGTATTGCACAGGTGTGCCTTAGGCTGGCCACAATAAAAGGCCACTCGAAGATGCAGAAAGACACGTAGAGTCTTTGCGGACATCCACATTCCTCCTTTTTTATGATTGCCCAGCCGCTACGCTACCAGGGCACCAACCGATCTGTTGCGCATGTGTGGAACGTGTCCACCAAGCTGACTGCAGAAAGTAGTACAAACAGAAGTTGTCCGCTCCAGAGTATATTTGAGGCTTTTCTAGTATTTATTAGTGCTCTTACTAGTATGTATTGTAAGTTGTAGTTCTCGTGCTGTATTTGATGCTTGTATGTTGTTCCTCAAATGTAAGTCACTTTGGATAAAAGCGTCTGCCAAATGAGTAAATGTTCAGTGTAAATTGGATGTGAATTTGGATACCGCCCATGTAGAGCAGCCCTTCTCATGCCAAAAGTAGCAAAAAAAAACACCCCTGGAAATGTTATTTATTGTGATGTAGAGGTGATCGGTCAAAGGCAACTGGACTTCCTGTTATAATATTTTATTTCCTCTCAAATCAGGCATCCCCGCTGCAGCCCATTCAAGGCTCTGCGGGTCCTTCTGGTGTTTGAGAAGCCAGTGGAGCTTTGGGCACAGCTGATCAACATGGGTGGAGGTTCCTCTGTCCGACAGTTCCAGGCAGACAAGGACAGCTCGGGTACAGACTCGCACCACAGAACCCACAACAATAACATCCGAATAATTAGCTTTGAAAAAATACGATACTGAGAGTTTGTTCTTCCCTCCATCTGCAGACATTCCTGCTGGCAAGTATGATGTTGTGGTGACAGACCATGCCTGTCCACCATTGGTAGAGAAAAATGTGACATCACAGGAAGTCCCGTTGGTGTCACCTGAGTGGCTCATCCAGAGTCTCATCTGTGGGGAGCGCCTGGGTTTCCACAGCAAGCCTCAGTATCGCCACGACTACTCCTCCTCATAATCTGACTCCACATGTGCAAAATGCCTTCAACCATGTTAAATGTTCAGCATTAGTTCTGTTGCATGCCTCTGCTGTATATAACTTTATCCTGTCTGTTTTTATGGGATAATAAATTGTGACCTCGTTTCATTTTAATCAATGGATGTTTATTTCGTCTACAGACAATGGTACATACAAGATTTTACTATTTACAGTTTATATACAGGGACAATGAGCTATACCCAAACCACAAAAAAACAAACAATTTTCCCACTTAATTCTAGTGGTCTTTTATTGTGCAGATAAGCGTCAGATGTATGTGCTAAGCTGTTGAGATCTGTCGCTGAGATTTCTGCTTCCAACCCAATACAATGCATTCGTAATGTTCACAGCATTGAAAGATTACTTTTAAAAATTCAACAGCAGCTTGTCTTTGAAGAAACAATGTCCTGAGGTCTGTTTTATAAAGCAGGTTTGCCAGGGTTATTTTTAGGGGATCTGTTATAAAGCAGGTTAAGAGATTTGACCTACTGTAAGTTACTACTACTTGAGTACTTAATTATTAGCCATTTTGGGAAGCACACTTATTCGCTTTCTTGCAGAGATAAGATTGGTACCACTCAGGTCTTACGCTAAATATGTAGCTACAGCCAGGAGACGGAGAGCTTAGCTTAGGAGAAAGAGTGGAAACAGCCAGCCTGACTATGTCCACAGTTGCTATGCTAAGCTAAGCCAACAGTCTCTTGGATGTGGCCCGGGTGAAGGCCACAAGCCAAAATGTGTTCTTTTGACAAAGTTGTGATTTCTGTAGCTTCATATCTAACAGACCAATGAGTATTATTGATCTTTACATCTCAATAAGAAAGCAAATAAGTGAATTTTTACAAATGTTGAGCTCTTCCTTTAGTTGAATATACACACAGCTCTTAAACCAAGCTTGACTTATTCTGATCACTTTAGATCAAAGTTGCTTAAACATTGGTTCTGTTTGTAACGCTCGATCAATCTAGGCTTATAAACAGGAAGCTTCACTTCATCAGGTTATTGTGGATAATCCACAGACCTCAAAAATGTTATTTTTCAGAGATGTGATTATCACAAAGAAAACCCAAATTTGCATGGCTAGATCCCACCAGAGGTGAGGGAGGAAAATGATTGTATAAATTGGTTGAACTAATCCTTTACAGATCATTTTAACATGCAAGCCACACTGACCGTATTTGGTTAAGGCAAAAGCGAAGAACAGGACGGATGTGAGTTTCTTCTGTTTAGTGTGGGAGTTTAGCATAGAAGGTCCAAATTCTTATCCTCTTCTTAAACACTGAAAAGAAAGAAATTTAAGAACATTTTTGGATTAACCATAAACAACCTTGACCTCTGTTTAAATATTGCATTCTAAAAACTGTCTCAACGTTATTATGCATCATGATTTTAAGCTAAGCAGATAATGTCCTACCTGCCCAGTGTGCCTCCAGCCTGTGTGTAGTATTTGTTGTAGTCCAGTCGCAGTAACAGCTGAGCCAGATCAGAGTTTATCTGGTGGTTCCTCACGCTCGAAAGGATTTTAAACAGTAAGGAGGACTGGCGTCTAAAGCCCTGAAATTTCAGAGTGGTGGTATTACAAAATATATATTTACATTTTCCAACATTAGACAAATGAGATGAAGTATCTCTACCTTGACAAGGATATCCAGCTGAGCAGTTCCCCTCTCGTCCAATGACGCCACAGTCTGACTGACCAGTGAGCAGAAGTTTTGACACAGCTCAAGGATCTCATTTAGACAGTGGAATACCTGCACAAGCATTTATTACAATTTAGTAAGCAAATAGCCTCAGTTTGAAAACTTGGACAACTGTTGCAGCCGATTAAATTCCAACATAATTCGGTGTTGTAATGTATACCGGCTTCAGGAGGATGAAGGACTGGGCGAGCAGGTTACTGAGGAAGTGGTCGTGGGCCAGCCTGATGCTCTCAAAGTCTCTGGTGGAGTTGATCAGCTGAAGCAGCTGAGAGAACTGAGACTCCAGCACATCCACCTAGAGACAAACAACAGGAAAAAAGTTGCATAAAGATGCATAAAACTCTGCACACACAAAGACAAATATGCATAGATAGAATATCGAAGATTAAAATACAGTTTACAGAGTGCTGAACAAAGAATCACGGGAAAAACAAAACAAGAACACTAATTGATGTAAACTAGAAAAGCAGACTAAATAAAAACAATAAAATTGAGCACACAAATGTAATTATTTTAAATAAATTTGTGTCTTTGGTTAGTATATTATAAAAAAGTGTTCAGATTTCAAAAATAGCAAGTGAAATTGGCCAACAACCAAAACAAATTTTTAATTATTAGATTATGGTTAATTATTGAATTCTGTCTCTAAACTTATTTTTATATTCCCACAACATCACACTTGCTAGATTTATAGAATGCATAAGTTGTATTATAAGTTTAAGTTTTATATTTTCATTCATAATAACAGGTTTATCGTTTTATTGTGTCATACAAAATAAGTAAGCAGTTGTCACTTTCATCTACCATCTTTTTTTTAAAATTAGGAATTTGGGTCAAACATTATTATTTTGTAGCCTTTCGGGAAGTCTGGAACTACATTTAAAATGTTACTAAGTTTTGTTAAATGACAGTTATGCATGTTTTAAACATCAACAGGGATTTATCTTTCAGATGCGTAGCTCTGTGAATCGATGTAATGATACAAAAGGCACAAACTGGGGCTAGGGTTGCGCCTGAAAACGATGTGTACTCATAGTAAAGAATGTGTGTAATGAACATCTGCTTTTTTAAATAGTGGTTTGTGTGTGGGTAATTGTTTGTACAGTGAAAGAGGCACCAGATGTATAGTTACCTGCAAGTAGTACTGCAGGTTGTCGATCAAGAACGCCATGTGGTTGCGTAGTCTCCACTTAACGGCATCTGTCTGGCTGGACTTGAGGTGTTTCCTCTGCATCTGCAGAGCCCAGCAGTGCTGCAGCTGCGACTGCACCCGCCGCACACTCAGCAGGTACCTGAACACAACGTTGTACCTGACCACAGAGGAACAAACAGGAGGACAGGACACTAACCAGCTGTACTCACAATAAACAAATAATTTAATTTAATTATTAATTAAACACACTTCTCCAAGACAGCAGGAGTGAAGAGGATGTGCAGCGGCCACTGAACCTTGTAGGTGAGGCCGAGAGCAGCCCAACCTGTGGGAGGGACCTCACGAGGGGAGGTGTCTTGTGGAGGAGTGGCTCCATCTCTGGGGCCCGTCGCCTCTGAAATAATACGCATAATAACCATTAATCACTCTGCAGTCAAAATTACAGAGATAAGGAGAATGAACACTGAACCTGGTGCTTTACTGAACAGCACCAAATGAGTCTGATCATCATCTTCACAGTGTGTGCACAGAGGATTCACTGCTTGAAGGCTTTGGTGTGATTCTGTAATGACTAGTGACTGATCTAAAGCATTTGTTTAATGCAAACTGATTTCACTTAAGCCACAAAGTAGTGTGTGTTATTTGAAATAGAGGTGCAAATAATGATTATTTCCACTGTTGATTAATCAGTGTTAATCATTAACCAAACAATAAACAAAAGATATTTGATTTTAAAATAATAGACCAGAGGAAGCAGCAAATCCTCAAATTTAGGTAGCCATTCTTAATAAATGAGTTTAAACTATTATCAAAATTGTTGTTAATTAAATTTCTCTTTTTTCTTCTTTTCAAGCAGCAGTTTAATAAAGAAAATCTTACATCTTTTGAGAGAAGATTGCTTCAGTTATATACGTATAACATAAGGCTCTCTTCATTTAGTAACAGTCCGATTATAAAACCTCTGGATGGCGCTAAACACCAAATAAACGAGAGCATCATTTCAAAGTAAAAAGTTTTCCATTATATTTCAGTCTCCTAAATAAGTTTCCCATTATTAACATACAGTAAGCTCTGATCAGCAGCACACCTTTGCTGTCTTTGCCCTGGTAGTCTACAGTGAGGTGCAGCAGAGGCAGGAGGTTGTCGTCGTCCAGGAGCACCTTATGAGCTGCCTGCTGAAAGGCCACATTTACATCTGTGAAACGGAAAACATGACATTTGAACGCACACAGCCTTTCTTATGACGCCTGTTACCATAAACAGTAAACAAGTCCTGAATTCAAACACATTTTCTGAAATAAAAACTCAGGTTGCAAGATGTCTGAAAGCTTGATGCAGGCTGGCGCTGGAAAGGTTTCAGTTGTTATTTGTTGCTGTCCAAGAAGGCTCAACCCCTACACACTACACACCTCCATCCACTCTGCATCCATTTGAACTGGCTATTCCGCCAGTGTATGAGTGAGTGTGAAGCGTTTGAGCACTTAGGCTAAGACTAGAAAGGCGCTATACAAGTACGGAGTGTGCCAGGTAATGGTGGAAACATAAACTTGTAGCTACACATTCACAACACAGCACTAAAGTAAAATGTGTTTTGTGCCAGTTATTTTACAGCAAACGGTGATTGTTTCGGGGATGTTATACATTTACAGTTTAAAACTACAGCACATAAATATATGGCAGGCTAACTGAGAGCTGAATGAAAAACCCTTCTATCATGGTGACGGAGGTTTGTGCAGACAGAGCCTTACTGACATGTTGTCTGTAAACATCTAGTACACAGATTAATGAGAGAAAACTTCATTACAGTACTTATTGTCCGTACATCTACGTACAAATGGTAGCTCATAATTATTAGCGTCGGAACTCTCTTCACTGTAAAGTAGGGCTGGGCGATACGGCCAAAAATCTTATCACGATAAAAACATTTCGGATCATTCGATATCGATAATTATCACGATGTGTGTCAAATCATTATTTCTTTCAAGTTTAAAGGCAGATTTTTGCTCCTGAGTGAAATGTGACAAACACTTGATTTAAGCAGTGGATCACTTCACAAGTCTAAGGTAGAACATTCAAAACTATTATCTTTTACAACAAATATGATTAGTTAAACTTTTTTCAACAAAATAAATATTTTAATAGAAAAATTAAGTGCTAATTGGTTCGTGATTCAAATGAATTAAAGCAAATATTTATTGACGATATATTGAACATTTATTATATTGTTATTGAGGAAAATTATATTGCGATGATTAGCATTATTGTTTTATTGCCCAGCCCTACTGTAAAGCACCACAAGCCACCACACAATGACAACAAGTCGAAATGACTGCACAGACCTAACTTTAACAACAACATATTTCAGGTGTAAAATATGGTTGTTATGTATCAGATATAAACAAAGAGCAGTGTTTAACCTGCATCACAGTACACAGCCATAAATCCGTAATTGATAATATTCAATATCCTATTCCAGATCCTATGGGATTTCTCTCAGTAATATAAAATAAAAAAAATCAATATAGCCATGAAACTATTTTTACATTTGTCCTTCAATAAACAATAATCCAAAATCAGGTTAACAAGAAGTCACTGCTACAGGGTTTCTAGTATCCTTTTCATCTGGCCAAACATGTGAGGAAGCATGAATTAGAATATTTTTTTTAAGTATCTCAATATGCAGCATGATGACACTGCTGTAAGTATTAATGGATTGTTACACCCTGTTGTAGTTGCCAGTTGTTACAGCTGGGAATGTTGGAGCAGCAACAACTACACAACCTTTTTGTGCAATGTAACTACAGAACAATAGAGCCTGGGGGAAAAACTACATCACAGATCTCAGTCATGTTTGCATATTTAAAATTTTACCGTGCTCAGTGACGGCTGTTGGAGGCGTCTTCAGCATGTGCTGCGCAAGGTCAATAAAGACCTGGTAGAGCTCGCCACGACCCAGCAAGTAGAAGTCCTTAATAATCTAGATGAAAATACAAACGTCAGCAGTTTTCACTTGGCACACATTTATGATCCAGAACATGTGTGTGATTAATACAAACCTTAAGCTGTTCCAGCAGATCTGACTCCTCCACCATCAACGTCCAGAGATGCTGCAGGTCAGAAAGATTGTGACTTTTTAATTTAGTCACTTTGAGAGTGCTAATGCACTTTGAATGTTATTTAGTTGAAAGACAAAAACAATGCAGTAGTATTTGATCTCACCTCCGCCACTGTGCTCCTGATGTGATCAATCAAATTTTCAAAATCCACCAGGCTGAAAAGCGGTTGCTGTTTGAGTCTGTGCAGCTCAGCAGCAAACAAGTCCTCTTGGTGCTTCAGTATGGAGCCTAAAATAAACAAAACAGTAACGTGTAGTATTCTCTCTCTGTAGTGATATAAAAGGTGACATTTAGAGTATGCAGGTATAAGACTTCACTTAAATTACAGCAGGATAGACTACCGGCTCTGGATGGGCTGTGGTTGTGGTTTTCAAACATCTGGACAGATTCTCCCACAAAGAGGATCTTCTCAGCCACTCTGATGGGAATATAAGACGGCAGCATCTCAGTTCGCAGGGAGAACTGCTGCAGAGACGGAGCCAGCATGTTCTCCTCCTCGATCAGCCTCTGCACCACAACACAGCAGGACATAATCAAGACTACTGAGTTTTTGTCCAGTGTTTTGGTCCTGTCTCTCTGACTATAGCTCTCACCAGGTCCTGTAGTTCTCTGAGTTGTTTGCCGCTCAAACCTCCCAGCCCCAGGTCCTCCTCCTCCTCCTCCTGGTTGGCAGCAGCCCCTCCTGCACTGGGCCCCTGCTTTATGAAAAACTCCTCGCTTTGGTCCAGCAGCAATCCATGCAGCATCCAAGCTGCTAGCTGCTTGTACATCACACCATGGCACACAGCAAGAATCCTGCAGAATGGATAAAATAAATACAACTTCAACACAAAGACACACAAAACATTTGTGTATTTTAATAAGATAAAATGACAATACAGAAGATTTTATGACTGTTTATGTAGAGCAAGACAACGCACATTGCAGCTCAAACGTGCCTATAAAATGATGCATTTGCAATTTTGTAATTTTACAAAAAGCAGAAATCAATCACCACTATTCCATTCATTTGGAGTGGCCCAAAATGAAAATTATGAGGAGGTATACATCATCCAAATCAACACGAGAATAGAAACTATGCATAAAAAGTGACATCAAGGGAGTCGAGGGTCATTTTTTTCCTGCATATTGTGTTATTTACCTACAGCTTAATCAGTTTAAATGTGCCCTTTTATTACTTTAACTATTTGCTAGGTGTTCCTGTTGATCTTTATACCAAGTGCAGTGGTGACAAAAGCTTTTTGAAAAACAGCTACTTCATTAGTCACGTTTTGAGCGGAGATACCGCTCACACAAACGCACAGTCAAAAGACAAAGCTTCAAGGCCAAGGAGAAAAGGGAAGATATTAATTTTATAGACAGATGAGATAAAACAGAGTTTCATTTTAACACACATGCAAACATCCAAAACACATGCCATCAACTGTCAAATACAAAATAACTTTATCCAAATATCTATTGGAACAGGGCTACTTGGTGTCACAAAGTCAATGACACATCACAAGAGAACATATTGCAATACCAATAATAAAAATAATAATAATCTTTCTAAATGAAGTTACAAAGTGCTTTCAATGGTTGGACCACATTTAAAAGTAGCACTTTAATATACAGAGTATATAGGCAGTGTTTACCCAACAAAGTAAACACAGCTTTTAAACTTTAAAGCTGGGGAATGCAATATTGAAGAACATGCAAGAAACAGGTAGATTTTGAAAACCCACCCCTCTCTATTCTGCTTCTGAAATAAATTGCCTAACCCAGCTTTAAGGTCTTTGCCAAAGGGAGCTGACTTACTTTTCTAAGGCCATGCGTACAGGAGGAAGCCCTCCACAACTGTGCTTGTACACCGTCTCCAGGATCTGACAGCCATGGATCTAAAAGCAACACACACAAGACGAGGAGGACATAGCGGTCAATTCTGTTACCCAGGTACAACTCTAGATTATTATATCTAGTCTTCTAGTCATTTTCTTTGGTCTGTCTCCGTGTTAATTTAGTTTGCATGAAATATACTGACATGATTAATCTGTATCCTAAAATAAATGTTATATTTGCAAATTGTCAAATAAGTTATCAAATTGCTGATCTTTGTGCAAAATGAAATGTTTCCATCAACTGCCTTCGTGAGAGTATAGTCAAGAGGACGTGACAAGATCACATAATGAACTACGCATGAGTAACACCTCATGGCATGGCTGCTTTCCAACTGAGGAAATTTGTGTTTTCTCTAAATTTTTAACATATTACTTTGGTCTCTTAATCCATATGTATTTTGTTGTTTTTATCAGCTGCTATGGTGATAAAAGTGGGATGATGCAACAAGGGCTTGGGTTTGCACTTCAATCGGGGGAACTTGCGGTTACATACATTGACATCACTGGCTTTCTGGTGAAGTGGAGGCCTGTCGTTATACGTTATATATTTTTTTTAACAATTTATCAGCACTTTATGCCACCCTAAACTTATACTGTATTTCCTGGTGATATACTTCTATAAACAATCCTTACCTTCTGTGATTTTATAGTCTCCACCACCACCATCACAGAAGGAAACAGCAACTGGAACTTAACAGAGAAAAAGTACAATGTTAGACAAACAGATACAGTCCCCTCCAAAACTATTGGAACGGTGAGGCAAAGTCTTTTGTTTTTGTTGTTCACTAAGATCAAAAGATGAGTTCATGAGACAAGAGTTCAGAATTTCAGCTCTCATTTCCTGGTATTCACATCTAGATGTGTTAAACAACTCAGGACACACCACCCTTTGTTTGAACCCACCCATTTTTCAAGTGAGCAAAACTATTGGAACATGTGACTGACAGATGTTTCTTGTTGTCCAGGTGTTGCCTTTTAGGTTGATTGTCCAAATATTAAATAGCTCTGCATGACTAGTCTACCCTCCCCCATCATCCTGTGTGACTCCCCAGTCACCACTGTGGACTCCTTCCACTTCCTGGGCACCATCATCTCCCACTGACACTCCCCCCTTGCAAATGATACAAATGTCTCTGCACATGTAAATACAGTTTCATCGCAGGCTTGAGGCAGTTATTGCAAGCAAGGGTTGTGCCACCAAATATTAAATGTTATTTACTTTAAGATTATTTTACTTACTTTTGCTCTCCTAAGAATGCTGTGGTCTAATACAAACGGTGGTATGTCCTGAGTTGTTTAACACATCTAGATGTGAATACCAGGAAATAAAAGCAGAAATTCTGAACTCTTGTGATCTTGTCATCTTTTTATTTAAACCAAAATGTCTTCAGTGAACAACAAAAACAAAGAAATTTGCCTTCCCATTCCAATACTTTTGGAGGGGACTGTATGTTTAACTGTAGAAAGAATTCCCACTGAGTGTCTTTATAGATTTGTATAATTTCAAAGGAAAAAAATCTCTTTATAGGTTTTATTAATGCTTTACCTGATCAAGCTTGTAATTCACATGAGATATTGTCAGATGAGGATCTCCAAGGAACTGAAACATACATACAAGTTAAATGAGCATCCTGTTACGTGCTCGCCCATTTATTCTTATTGATTGTGTCATAATTTTACCTCTTGTTCCAGGTCCAGCAGGGCCTGTCTGTATGGCTGCAGCACAGAGTCCAGCCCGGTGCAGAAAGCCCGCAAATAAATTCCATGAAGTCCAGTCTGGTTGGGCTGGTTCGTGTGATGTTCCTAAAGAGCAAATTGTTTAGAGAAGTCCAGTGAGCAAGACATATTTATTTCATTAACAGACACAGCCTGTCGTAGATAGAAAGAAAAGGGTATGGTACGCCTTGACAAACTGAACGTCCTCAAAAATGCAACTGAACTGATATGGACATTGTCTTTGGTTTTTATTACATCGACTGGATACGTTGTAATATTAATAATAAATAATACTTTTTAAATACCACCTTCCATATAGGTATTCCATGTAGGTCAAAGTGTTTAACAATAAAGTGAAGAAACAAGAAAATAAATAAAAACAACAATGAATAGCACACAAAAGAGGCAGTAAAAAGCAAGAACAGGGCCCCATTTCAGAGAGCAGGATTACCCAAAATTCTGAGTATGTTAAGCCTGAGATGAGGGAAAGTCTGGATATTCCGTTTCAGAGAGCGAGATCAGATAATCCCTAGATCAGTAACTCCGGCAACTGATGCTGTGTTGCTGTTCTGAACGCATTTACATCTTTAAAAACTTTAAAATCTCGGTTAGATAGGCTATTAGTTTTTTACCCAAACATGATCTTGAACATGACCGCTTTTATGATCAATCTGTCATCGATGTATGACAGATCTTGGCACATCGTGGATTTATCCTCAGCACAGAATACAATCTATGTCCGTCTTTAGGTATAACGCTGCGACTCTGTGAACAGTTGCACTGAAAACACTTACAGTGGGCTACATTACTGCAGTAATCATTGTTTAATATGTAACCTATAAAACTGATCAATGAACTGTGATCTTTCATATTTCTGTTGCACTGATTGGAACATTCGTCGTTATCAACTGGAGACAAGGTGACTATTTCTGTGTGAGGATGACTTTGGTGCCGCTGAAACAAACAGGCCTAAATAAGGTTTAAAAGTGAGTTTTTCCATTATTAGCTGCTGATAGTCTGAATGTGTTTTGACAGCATTAATAAAATACAAAATGAGCAAGATTTTATTAATGTGAAATAGACATCTAAAACTTTAACCTCTAGACACATTTTCCACTGCAAAAAATAATTAATAGGCTAACCTGCTGGGTGTGACTGTGACTTTACAATCACAGGTTCATGAGTAAACAGTGTCTTATATTTGATCTATAGCCTACCTATTTTCATAATCAGGTAGGCGATTGCCACCGGCATTTTATCCCGCCGGGTTACAGTTTAACAAATATAGCCTTCCTATTTAAAATGGAATGTATTGGGCTGCAGCACTTTATCATTCATTAAGGAAATTCCAGTCTGGTAAATGATGAATGAGCAACGCTGTGTAGTAGCCTAATAATGTTAACGCATTGATCGCATTGATTCCACTCCTGCGTTTTAGAGCCTATCATGGTCCGCGTTGGCATGCATTCATATTTCTAGCTCCACCTGATTAAAATTGAGGCTCTGCCTTTATTTACCCGTTGCCATGGTGAATCATAGTATCGGAGCTCCATTAATGATGGCTTTTTTTCATCCCCACGCACGCGCTTCAATCAGGCTCAACATACTCAGAGTTGATAGAACTTATTCTGATCAGCTGCTCTGGAACTGAAAATTCAGAGTTTTCCCACCTCAGGCTCAATCAACCCAGAGCTCAGGGATAAGCCCAGAGTTTGTTAAGCCTGCTTTCTGAAAGGGCTCAGGTATGCTAAGAACAACAGAATATGGGAAAGACAGAAATATATAAGTATAAATAATAAAGTATTCCTATAAAGGTGCATCTCTTCATAAGAATATCTGTCTTGTTAAAATATACAAGCTAAAATTCTAAATAAGTTGTTATATAACATCTAGGGACTTTACTCACTTGTTGATGCACATGGCCAGTGTGTTGTTCTATGAATTCTGTAAAGCGAATGTAATCTGAGCCCAGTTTAGAGAGCCGGTTGAGGACACTGGTCTCACTGGGGTGAAGGAAGGGCAGGTCTTGGGACACCTGTGGGTGAGAAAAAGTGGTTCATGTTCGAAACGATACACTGTGTACCTCTAATACACAAAGGTTACTGTGGCGCACATAGGGCTGGGCAATAAAACATTAACAATAATTATTGCGGTATAATTTTCCACAATAACAATATAACAAGTGTTCAATAAATGTTTGATTTATTTCATTTGACACAAACAAATTAGAACTTTTTCTATTAAGATATTTATTTTGTCAAGGAAAAGGGACTGAAAAAAGATTTTACTCATGCATTTTTGTTAATTGTTTTGAATGTTCTACCTCAGATTTGTTAAGTGATCCAGAAAAGTGTTTGTCATGTTCTCACCATAATAGTTTAAAACCACAATTAATAATCTGGTTTCTTCAACTTTCACTCAGGAGCAAAAATCAGCCTTTAAACTTGAAAGAAATAACAATTTGATATTTATTGTGATAATTATCGATCAAAAAAATTATTGTGATAACATTTTGACCGTATCGCCAGGTGCACAAGCCACCATTCTTTCTGCTGCCTATTGACTGGTCACGTTTTAACCCTTTAGAAGTGTTATACGCACTGTTTAAGTGTAGCTTGCACAAGAATCCGTCGGTGTACCTTGCTGTGAATCAACCCATCAACAGTACTGCTGACAAGCAAAAAGCAAGAGCAAAGTTGTAGCCCATCCTTGACTGTTTTTATGGTGATGTCTCTCCTAAATTCAGGGAAGAGGCTTTAGAAAGTTTATTAACTGTTGCCAAATCAAGGTTAAAATCAAGGGCAACTGGTCAACTGGCTGATTTAAACCTTTGTTGGATGACCTGGATGACTGAGAAGCTTCACAGACATCTTACTAATAGTTGCCTAGGTTGACCTGGTTAGTTTTGGTTCATGATGATTTAGTGAACAGGGAGGCACAGAAGTGCATAGATAGCACTGTCACTTCACTTTCTGTGTGAATGTTCTCTCCGCAGGTTCCCACCCAGAGCCCAAATATGAAGTTCAGGTGAACTGCAGACTCCAACATGCTTAGATGTGTGACCAGTTGTCTGCTTATATGTTTGAGTCTTTTAGAACTCTAGAAAAATTTAATTTGTAACCCGGTTTATAGGCTCTTCTAACCTCTGGATGTATATAATGGAACTTAATTACTTTATTTTCATATAACCCTGGTTATCGTGAAGAATAAAACGAGCAGCGTTTGAGGAAGATACTTTTGAGAGGCAGATAAATGGAGAAGATTGCAGATTTTAGCCTGAGACCGACTGTATAACGTTATATTGTTTGTAAAATATGGTACATATCTCTTCTAATGGCTGAATATAAACCAGTCTATCCTTAAGCTAACGTATCCTAGCACAAACGTATAACATGTTAGTATTTTATGTATGTTGGTCTATGTCTTACTGCAGAACCAATTGCCCTGCGGGGACATACAATGTTTAAGTTTATTTTAGTTTAAGCAAATAAAACACTATAAATTGATTTGTTAGTCCTGTTGAAATAATAATAATATATGAGAGAATAATAATAAAACCTTTAAGGTTAGCTAGCATGTCACCGTTAACTCGTACACGTCGCTTTGTAGGGAGGCTACAAGATGTTTTAGCTTTACCTGCAAACCTGTGCGTTTGTTCCATGTGAATATCGTCCCCGGGTACCCGCTCAACGCCAGCAACAGCTCGTGAATCATGTTAATTCACCCTGAAATTATAAAAATCATCGGTGAGTTTCTCATTCATCCACCAAAACAAACTGCCGCCCGAGCTGTCGCAGGTTGGCTACGTCACGTCGCAAAGCATCACGGGGGCACGGACTAGTCGTTTTCGACATTAATTTATTTTAAAATATCATAAGAGTAAGTTCCTATCATATGTAAACGCACAATAACTTACTTCAAGGCTATAATGAGCTCTACAACAAACGTTAGCATGGTAAACCCGCAGCTGCCAACTGCGCTTCTGGGAAATGTAGTTCCTCACGCAAAAAAAAAAGGGTAGCGTCATCAGTCTTGCGTCATCATTGGGTCATGTGCGTCATGTGTGGCTAGCTAGCAACACCTCGCAGCGGAGAAAGCTTGGTATGTCGTAGTTATAAGTTGAAATGTAAAAACGCCACATCATACAGACTGTACAAGCTATTTATATCACGTTACTCGCCTTTTAATTTAGCTTTTTTAGCATGTTGTTGTTATTTGCTTGGCTTCTAGAAGAGCTGTTGTTACTCGGCTAGCCGTTTGGCTTAAGTTAACGTTAACAGTTGCTGAAGTCATTTAACGTTAGTGTCTGTTTCACTCTGGGAAACTTGTTAGCGTCGTTAGGCTACAACCAGGCAGGTCTAAAAGAACAACAAAATCTAGTAACATTAGGTACACGGATATATGTAGTCTTTTATAATCTTGTTAGGTTTGATAAGACCAGTTAGCCTGTTTCAAGCTAGCTGTACTAACGTAGGTGCCACACAAATAAAAGAGCAGGTGTGGGTTTTCTTTACTTGTTAAATACATCGATTGTTATTCCAGGGATGGCGGGGGAGAGGAGCGGAGAGGACATTGTTTCAGAGTACCTGGGCCAGAACCCGCAGCTAGCCCAATGGGTCGACACTTTAAGAGACTACTGTGAGAGCAACAAACAGTGGGTTGCTCGGAGAGAGTTCATCGTGAGAAATATGGAGACCTTCCCTACAGTGAAGCCAGGGGTTCCCAGCAGCAGTCTTGACAGGCTGCTCTCTCTGTCCATGGTATGGGCCAATCACGTTTTCCTCGGTTGCAGGTAAGACCCGCACTGACAGAGCAGATTGATCAACTCCAGATAGTAAACATGAAGGCACACTGATGAGGAAGTCCACCTGTCTCTGTTCTCTTCATTCCTCAGCTATCCACAGGCTGTAATGGACAAGATCAAGGAGATGGGTGAGGGGATAGTTGTCCAAGACGCCCCAGTTCACAAAACAACAAAAGATGGAATCATGGGCAGAGGAAAGCGGAGTGCTACAGGTGGTAATGCAATGCACATTTTTAATAAAGCAGACTACCGTATTTCCTTCTCTTTAGCCGCATCCTAATATGATATGTCTAGGTGGACACAAGATAAAACTTGTGACACACAATGTTTACAACACCATTATTTTATCATGTTTGCTTGTCGGGATTGGGAATACACAGAATGACAGAAACATAGGGGGATAAAATACACTGTAGTAAGCATTGTGGTCAATAGTGATGTTTATAATATTTGTTTCCCCATGTATGTAAGTATGGGTGGAGAAAATATTAAAAGCACCTTTCAACACAATGCAAATCAGCACCACCCCAAGCTAAGGTGTTATTGTCAAATATGGTGATATTTGCTTTGATTTATATAGCGCCTTTCACAAACCCAAGGACGCTTAACAAACAAAAAAAGGCGGGAGGTGAGAGGTGTGAGGCCAGGGGAGATTAAAGCCCATAGGCCTCAGTGAAGAGGTGTGTTTTAAGCTGCGTTTTAAAGGTTATTATAGAGGAGGCAGAGCGGATGGCAAGAGGAAGCTTGTTCCAGAGTGATGGTGCACTGACACAGAAAGCTCTGTCACCAGATGTCCAGAGCCTGGAATTAGGGACAGCAAGCAGGTCCTTGTCAGAGGACCGCACGGACCGTGACTGAGTGTAGGGATGGAGTAGATCTGTGAGGTACTGAGGTGCAAGTCCATGGAGAGGTTTGTACGTCAGTAGTTTGTATTGAAAATATTTAATCCCATTTTGAATATAAAGACGACCAAGCAGCTAAAATGCACGCTTCAATAGTTGTTTATTTACAAGGTACAAGGTTATTTATTAGTCATTATACAGCACAAGGCTGCATAATGAAATGAAATTTGCACCCGCCGTGGCTCCTGGTCCGGTTGATCGGGCCCTGTGGATCATGGTCCGCTGCTTTTTAATCCAAAAACCCCGTCTTCATTTTCCAATGACTGTATTTCTGTCAGCGGTAACACGTGTTTTGGCAATAAAGCTGGAAAAAACAGATTTAAAAAACAAAAGTGTAGCAAAGTTTGAAGGAGCTGCTGCTTTAACAAGCGGTTGCCATAGAGTTTATTTCATTTTAGTGATAAGTGATATCGTCATCTCAATGTTGAACAATGTTATTGCACATTGCAGATTTTCCTCATATCATGCAGGCCTAGTTGGCTTATCCATACCAGTCAAAAAGTCAGAAGTATCTTCAGCCAAGTCCAGTTTAAGGCTGCAGCTAATAATGATTTTAGTACTAGAAGCTTCTACAGATTATTTCATCGATGCATCGTTTAAGAAGTACTTTTAGTACTAGTACTATACAAGTTGTACTAAAGTGCAGCTCCCTTACACCCAGTTAACTCAGGACTGTGACGTTACAAACCCAAACTCACGGCCCAACCAGGTCCACTTTGCAAACAGCGTCATCATAATCACGTCGTGTTCACACAGGTAATCGCGATGTGCGACTGTAATAAATGTCCGTGTGAAACAGTGTGCTTCATAGTTATATGGATTAATCGAATTATTCGATTTCATCGATGAATCGTTTTCAGCCCAACTCACCAGTTAATCATGATTTCAGTGAAATGCTAAAGTTGCTGTTACTGTTACGTTGTCTGTGGTCCGCTGACAGAACACCGAGTGCTTTCTGATCAGGTGCCGTCGTGCTGTTGCCGAGGCGACGTAAGTTTTGTTTTACGGTGGCGGACTGTAACATTACTGAGTTGTTGTTTTCTTTTAGCTTGAAATAATCCCATATTTTGGACACTTTCTTCTTTGTCCCTCGCTATTTTGTCTCTCTTCCTCCACGTTGCAAACAGCGGCATCATAATCACGTCGTGTTCACACAGCGTAAGCGCGATGTGCGACATTAATAAATATCCGTGTGAAACTGCTATATAGTTATATGGATTAAACTAAGCGTCGATGCATTTAATCCATTTTCAAATTAATGGATGACTGAGAATATTCACAGACTTTGATAGGCATAGTAGTCTGACTCCTACCCTCTTTGAAAGGTTGGTTTGTAGGAGAAATGATAGTTTGCTCTGTAGGTAAGTTTTAATCTTCAGTTTTGAGATACAAATAAAGAACCTCCCACCCCCATTTACTAAGGCAGCTACAAACTTGGTAGATTTAAAAATAATAATTATATATCCACCTAAGTTAAAATTAGCTTTCACTGGGCGGTAAATAGTGTGTTTAAAAAAAGCTGTTTTCTTTTTAGTAGATCAGGTCCAACAGGGTTTCTGTTTAATTACCTGCATGCACACACCTGCTGCTGAAGTCTGTGCAGTCATCACTATCCTGCCTGTTGTGTCTTCATTTGTAGAAGGCGATACTGACAGCTGTTTGAAAAGAGCCAAATGTGGGGCTAACGAGCTTGACAGTCGACCTGCTGGGAGGACTGCTACGTGGGCTGTGGGTCAGAAATCAGGACCTCCTCCACAGGCTCCAGCAGATCACCAGCCCTTCTTCAACCGTCTCTACAAGGCGGTGGCCTGGAAGTTGGTGTCGGCAGGGGGCTTTGGTCCCAACTTGGACCATTTTGAAATACTCCGTTCCTGTGTAGAGTCATGTAAAGAGACCCTGGCCTGTGTGTTTGTGCCACTGAAGGACATCGCAGGCCTACCCGCAGGTCGCACGCAGAAGGAAGGCCACGTGTGCGAGATTCGCTGTCAGACTGTGTACATGGGAACAGGATACGGGCGGGATGAGTCCGCAGCCAAGGCCATGGCTTCCAAAGAGGCCCTGAAAGTCTTTCAGGGGCGAAAAGTAACAGTTAAGATCTGCAGACGGAGGTACAAAGGGAAAGATGTGGAGGATTTGGTGTTGCTGGACGAACAGCCTCGGAGTCAGGGCTTTCCTCCTGCACTCAGCTACCCTTTTCAGGACGAGCAGCTGGAAGATGCTTCTTCATAAAGCTGACAATTTGTGATGTTTGCCCTTCTGGGCGCACAGACAAGTGACATTTACTGAATGGAGCTACTGAAGAAATTCATGACTGAGTCAGGACTAGACTGTTATGTACCATAACATCATAATTAGACTTGGGAATCATTGAGTAACTTAGACTTTGGTATCATAATACAGGTGACACAATGTTAGACAACTATCTGGGATACATTATTAAAACAACAAGAATTAATCTTATACTGTATTGACTACATTTTTAACCACATTCAGTTTTACATTGTTTTATAGACAATAAAATGATGTGAATAAAGTTGCAGCATTATATAAAGTCAAACGGCCACAAACTGGTAAAAAGCTCAACTCCCAGACGACTAAAGAGTTAAAATAAAGGAAAGTCACCATATTATTGTAGGAGAATGTCATTGGATTATTTGGATGTGATTTATTTGTCGCAACAAAATGACTATTGGCCATCACCTGATATTTGGAGTATTCGTGTGTATATTTTTCCCATTTGTGCGTTCGTGTCATGACAAGTTTTGTTCTGGTGATTTCACAAACCGTAACTGGGTGCAGTCACGCCTACAGCTTGATTTAATTTATCAACAATTAACAAACCACAGTTGATAACTTTAACTTTTCCTTTATCTTTGTACCCATTAATACAGTCACTGTCAGTTTTTCTAAACATGATTGACTTGACTGTAGTGTTCATACAATTAGAAATCCAGACTTTATTTTGATATTTCAGTTTTTCCGACCATAAGTGACTTTTGGATGATTTTTTTTTTTTCTCTAATTGTAACCATTAACCCTTGCATTTTATAGTTTTTCTGTAACAGGTTGAGTTGGCAGGGTCAGTTATTTGGTGGATCCTGTGTTTAAATCTCATTTTTCTTACTTAGCCAGAAAATGTAACTTGTGGAGTAAAAGTTAAGATCACATAGACCGCTCCAAACGTTGTTGTTGTTATGATGTTGACTCAAGGTGTTTAAAAGGGGTTCACTCAGTCCAGTTCTTCAGAAAACTAGGAAACTGTAATCTGCTAACCAGTGATTGAAAAATAACTACACATTTCTACAAAGAAATTACCAAAGTGTTGAGTTTTTTTTATTCCAGTATGTTCAAAGAGAAGTTAAGGTGTACATTATACTTTTCAATTTACATGTTTTTCACCAATATTTTGCCAATAACTAATTACCCATTATACTGTTCACCGAAGTACAAAAGGTTTCTGCTTTTATTTTATTTCATTTTCACAGATTAAAAAAACACTGAAACCCAGACTATGTTGAAAATATTGTGTCACAATTAAGAAAATCCCTTTGAGCACAGTTGGATACAGTGTGTACAGTTATGCAGTGCTGCTGTGATGTGTGAATCTTTTCCAGTCTGGGTTGAAGGTGAACAGGGTTGCACTGAAGTGTGACAATCCAAACTGTTCCATGTTACTGTGTGTTTACACCAGTGGTCCTGTTTGTTTATATATATATATATATATATATATATATATATATATATATATATATATATATATATATTATAATTTTTTTTTTTTTTTAAATAAAGATGATTTAACCAAGTGCAGTTTATTTGGTTTCCACCTGGAGAAAACGCACCCAGCTTGGTGATTTTGTGTACAGCCTTTTGAGTAAATAATTGTTTCTGTCACAGTTTAATGGTGTCATTACATAATTTCACCATGGTGCAGGTGAAAAGGTTATTATTGGAATCTATATGTTGAATTGCATCACATACTGCCTCTCATTAGTGGTAATTGGCAAGTTCAGACACAACTGAAGTGGATGATCAGTTCCTCATTAGAGGATTAAGTAGATGCTAGCAGTGCTCATCAAATAATTATAAACTCAGTGATTTGAGTGACATTCATGCTTGACCTCCCCCATATTTGAAACTGAGCTATATTTCCTCCATCAGCCGGACGCCTTCGGCCTCGTCAACACATTGACCGGACTGTATTCACATGACTGCACTGTGTTGTTTTTCACTTCATTAGACAATCTGAACTCCGGCGATGATACGATGTGTAACGTAGTTGATGGTTAAAGGATAAGTCTGGCATTTTTCAGCATGGACCTATTTTTCCGTCTTTTTGTATCTTTGTGACAATGGGGACAACATTTTTTTAAATTGGTCTGTTATTGAGTGAGAGCGATGCAGATGTAAATGGAGCGCACCATGAAGAGAAACAAGGCTGCAACATAATCCTTGTGGGCAATTGCACCCAGTCAAAGTACATCCACTTAAGTGCTCTTTTTTTCTACCCACTTTCTTAAAAGCCACCAGACTCCATTGACAAAAACAGTAATTTTACCTCACAGGTGTTTTTGTTATTGTGTGAAGCTGACGTTTTAAAGGGTTAAAACACCAAAGTCACACACACAAACAAACTAACCGATCAGCAGTAGATCGAAGAGGTAAAATTACAGTTTTTGTTAAGGCAGGCTGGTGGCTTTGACAAGAGCAATATAGGACTGTTTCTGGTTAACAAAAGAGGATCTTACTCTTTAAAAAAGGTCTATCTCTGTAGGCATTATTTCCATAATGTTGCTTACATTACACACTTATAATAACAATCTGAGCCTGTGAAGTGACAAAAACATGCACTTTAGTGGTACTTTGATGGGGCGCAATGTTGTCCCAATTGGTCATAGACAAAAACATGGGGTAGTATAGTCCAGGTTGAAAAATACCTTGGTTACCCTTTAAAATAAACTGCCACATGCTCATGCTTATTTCATAATATATACCCCTGAAATGTGGGAATTGTACAAAGCATGCTTCAACTAAACATCTGAATTTTGACATAGGTTTACATCTGCATTGCAACCCTATGGCATTTGTATATTTTCACAATATGATAATGTACTTCAGTGTTCTGTAGTCCGTCTCAGGTTTCACCACTAGAGGGCAGCAGTGCGTGTATGTGATTTTCTACTTTAAAGTTGGACTGCCGGTTTGTTTGTGTGTGTCTTTGTGTGTGTGTGTGTATACACACAACATTTTATGTCATATATTGTTTGGTACTTTATTTCTTTATTTTAGTACTTTACAGAATACTTTGTGGTACTTTGGTATATTGGGCGCTTTCTTTCTTTCTGTCAATTAATTGTGGCATCTATGGTGCATAAGGGCACCTTGCGGTTGCATGCGATGTGATTTAGTTGGTAAACATAATAGAACTTTGTGGTATTTCAGTACATTATGGAACATTTCGTGTGGTAGTTTGAGTTTTTGGCACATTTTTGGTACACCTAATGCATTGTTACTTTATAGTATACTTTGGTGGTAGATTGTGGTTCTTTGAGTACTTAATCCTGGACCTTGAGTCTTCTTGTGATACTTTGTAGTGCTGTTGTGGTACTTTGTTGGACTCTACTGTTGTTTGTACTTTTTAGTAACCACTTATATGTTTTGTGGTGCTTTTGTAGTTAGGTAGTAGTAGGATGTGATTTTTTGGTGAACTCAATCAATCTTTGGAGTATCCATACTTTCTAGACCACTTACGCTAGCTTTTAGTAGTTTGAACTTGTTGTGGTACATTTTGGTACGCTTTGTAGTACTTTCTTGTTTTTGTTGCTTTGCAGTTGTGGTACATTGTGGTTCTTCATGGTACCTCATCTTGGAGCTTGTGTTTTTGGTGGTAGTTTGTTGTGATTTGGGGCACTTTGTAGTGCTCAATGTGGTAGTATATGGTACTTTGTGAAAACTTGTGCTTTATTTTAATAAATGCTTAAGAATTTGTGGTACCTTTTGGAAGGCTTTGTGAGTCTTTGGTTGATACACTGTTGTGCTCCAAGTGATATTTTTGCTGGGCAGGAGGATTCACACAGGAGACTTTACTCTCTTCTCTTTGATTTTTCCTGGTGAGACACAATGAGAGAAATAGTAGCAGTAACAGGCAGAGAGAGAGAGAAAGAGGTTTGACATTCAACAAAAGTCCCTGACTGGAATTAAACCCAGTACATTGCATTTAATGGTATGCATCTTAACCACTCGGCCACCCAGACTCTTCTTTTTAAACATGTATTTATTTATCTGTCTCTTCAATGAGCAGTGATAATAACATTCACAGCCTTCACATTACAGGAAGTCTTACTGTATTTATTGACACGCACCAAAAGCAAAATAAAATCAGTTAGAGATCTGTGTGCATGTGTTAACATATTAGTGTTCACGTTATACATCAGCTTCACCGCCTCAAGCATTGTCTGGTGTCAATGTATTGAGCGGTTTACACCCAACAATGCCATTCTCAGAGAGCAATCTCTATTTCAGACTGTATCATTTGTCACCTGCTCTGCATCTCCATCCATCACACTCTCAATCATCCTACCTCTCTCTTTTTTTTTCTTTCAGTTTCTCAGTATTTTCGTCACCATCTCCATCTGTCATTCTTTACTTCTCTGTCAAATTATCACACAAACAAACATTTCTCCCAATGGGCGATTGCTGCAGGTTTGAACTGTCTCAATGTGTGAAAAAAAAAAAAGCCCTTATCCACACATTCAATCTCTATCGGAACTGGAGGTAATTCCCCGAGGAATCAATAACGACTCCTCGCTGTCTGGAGAAAGTATTGCTGTTCAGGAAGATAAACAGTCTCATTGTCAGTCCAACCACCAAGAATGTTTCTATATATGTGCCTTTAATCCCTTGCTTGAATTTAAAGTGTGCAAAAACGACCAAGTTTGGAGTTAAGTTTTTAAATTTCAACAGCAAAATGGTTAATAATGCATTTCTTCATCTCAGTTTGCAGATCACATGAACCACAAGCACTGGCTTTGCCGTGTACAACTCTCAGGTCACTTAAGTTAATAAAACTTCCCCTAGTCTGTGATGGCTATATACGCTATATTGCCAAAAGTTTTGGGTCACCTGCCTTTACATGTACGTGAAGGTTACTGACATCCCATTCTTAATCTGTAGGGTTTAATATGGAGTTGGTCGACCCTTTGCCGCTATAACAGCTTCAACTCTTCTAGGAAGGCTGTCCACAAGGTTTAGGAATGTGTTCATGGGAAGTTCTGACCATTCTTCTAGAAGCGCATTTGTGAGGTCAGGCACAGATGTTGGAGAAGGCCTGGCTCGCAGTCTCCGCTCTAATTCATCCCAAAGGTGTTCTATGGTGTTGGGGTCAGGACTCTGTGTAGGCCAGTCATGTTATCCACACCAAACTCGCTCACCACGTCTTTATGGACCTTGCTTTGTGCGCTGATGTGCAGCGCAGT